TTCCTTCAGTCTATTATAATCATTTTTAAGTCTGTTCCACAGACCATCTATATAAAAATCTTTAAAAATATGCGTGTAATACATTTTGTTAAGATATTTCTCCTTTCATTTATATAATTGTGTATATATGCATCGAATTTTTGTTTTGTTTTTTCTTACATTCAGACCCAATGTTGGCCAAAATGTGTAATGGTTTTGTCTGCAAAACCAAGAAAAAAATTCTTACCATTATGTAATTTACAGAGTATTATGAAAATTGCTTAGTTGTAGATTAGTTTGTCCAATAAGTAGCACTGTGGGTTTTTCTATCGCAATAATACTACTACTATTAATAATGGCAATCATAGTAATAATAGTAATATCATCATTTCAGAATAGTACGTAGTGTTTCAAATGAATTACTATTATTATTATTACTTTTTTACTGTTAAAATAGACAAAATTAATGACTAGATAAAATCTTAGATGTTACATAAGCTTTTGACAGTCAATTCTATGGAAACTATTTGGGCTGTTGATTACTTTAATAATTTTGACATCTTAGTTATATAATCAGTGAATCGCAATAGAAAAAAATTTAAATGAAGATTTATTCTCTTGTTTGTAGTAGTTTACGTTTTTTTTCTTAAAATTTCGTTGAAATCATACACTATTTTGATAAAAGAAAAGTTGCTCTATTCAGTTACAAACGGTCATTTAACACTTATTACTGTTTCTAAGACAAAAAAATGAAAGAAATCGTAGTGATTTTTAATAATATTTGATATAAATATGTACGATATACTAATAAAGTGGAATACATATTGTAATTTCAACAGTTGAGATCATGAGTCGATTGAAGCTAGACCACCATGGACACTGATTGGTCCTGGGTTCGAATCCCGCCGGGCAGGGTCGTGGATACGCATTTCTGAGGAGACACACAATAGGACGAAACGGCCGTCCAGTGCCTCCAGGTTTTCCGTGGTGGTCTAGCTTCAATTGATTCATGATCTCAACTGCTGAAATTACTACGATCTCCACAAAACCCCTTCTGATACTACTACATATTGTATTGAGTGAAAATTTCAACTTATCGGTTAACTTTGAAGCAACCGGATTAAAAAATTTGTATATTTATTCCTCAGGAAACAAATTAACTATAAAATATTCAGGTCCTTGATACCTTGTTAATTTATTAATTAAAGGAACTTTCTATTGTAGAGGTTTCTTAAATGGCTCTTTTCTCACACGTCTCTATAATAAACATTGATTCAAAAGAATAATTATATAATTAATGGTATAGTTAAACATAGCGAGAAGCTTTCCAAAAGTGTAGATAGAAACTAATTCTTAGAAGTTGAATTCATGAATTATAATAATGAATATAATTAACTGTTTCCCAAATGCGAAAATTAAGATGAACGTATAGAATTTTTATTAAATCCAGATAGAAAAACAAAGTGATGATGTAGTGATAGAGAGAAAAGGTGAGGACAGCAGAATTATATTTAGCACAAGTAAAACAGAAAAGCCATACTCTAATACGTCATTTGCATAACATTCATTAATTGTCTTAGACTTAATTGTTCCTGCATTTCCATACCAATTACTTTCTAGTCCCATTCTTCCCTTCTTGATTTTCTCAGTCTTCTGCTGCCAGACATTATATTCCTGACTTGCGTTAAATACTACTTCTGTCAATATAAGTATCACACACTACAATTATTTTATGAATTGTTTATTACGTAAATAAACTGTTAATACACATTTTAACCATCATTAAAGTGACTTAAATAAATTATTAAGAGAAATGTATATATTATGGCATCTTTGTCGAACAATAATGCCATTAATGCAAATAAAGTGAGTGAATCAATAATGTTAATAACAGAACTGATTGCCAAACCCTAATTGAATACACTTCAGAAGATAAAACAGTTAGTCATCTGAATGAAGATATACAAAAAAATATTGACTTTTCATAAATACTACCCAGTTATAACTTGTGTGAATGGATTATGGTTCTTTTTGGTGGATATTATAAAGTATTTATGTATCACCAAACAACATAACTTGAATACCCGAAGTCATGATTGTTCATGTTAAAAGTAAAGGATTCAGCTAAAAGAATTAATAAGTTTCTATAACATTATTGCACAGTTGTGTATCCTTTTGTATATGTCAGTAATCAGAACAACAAAACAAAGGCGATTATGTTCACTTGGTGTAGTTTTACTTGTATCTTCCCATTTTTATTTAGGACTGCAATCGATCAGACTCTCGTTAGCATATGTTCATCCTGTGCGAAATGCCTCGATATAGCTTTAAGTCGCAAGCTTTTTAAAGAAAAGATGGATAGTGGCTAGCAGTGGTATTCAGGACGCGCGTTTCGTCCTATTCGGGACTCGTCAGCTGGATGCATCTGCAATTCAGAGTGGATGTTCATTCCGGGACTCTGGGATGCAGGCACATCCAACAAACGAGTCTCGAATAGGACAAAACGAGCGTCCTTGATTTCACTACTAGCCACTATCCATCTTTGCTTTAGAAGGCGATTATGATTGAATACGGTATTCTGAAGCATAAATTAATAAGATGTTTAAATAATGAATGTCTTTTTTAGTTTTTAATGAATAAATTATTGTATTTGTCCGGAAGACTGGCCTTGATAGATCTTCAAACAGATTCTCAACTAGTTACAAATAAATATGGTTGAACCATGCATGTAGTGAGAATAGTTACTGATTGATTATAATTCTACCATTACATCATAAATGCCTAATACTTAAACCGTAAAAACTCATAACCTAGTGATACTATCACATTTACATCAAGTCCAAAACACAATCTAACAGATTCAAATCAAACTAATATTTCGCTTTATACATTACAAATTAATTTCACAACAAGTATGCTTAAAATAAAACTCACGAAGATTCAACATCTTGGCAAAACACTATTTTTCCTTTAGTAATTTTGATTGGTTTACCTACATTTGTGATATATTTTTTTTGACTATTTCATCATTATTGATACAAGAAATAAAGATGTCCGTAAAATTTGTTCTCCTGATTAATTTATTTTAATGAATATAAACCGGTAAAAAGATGTAGCAGATTAATATATTACTGTTAGTAACAATAATTAAGATACACTAGCCAATATGTAAAATTACTTGTCAAAAATGTGTTCTAACAGATGATTTATGTTCATAACCTTTCTTATATATTTCGTAGATTTTTTTCCCATTTTTGCTTAACTTTACCTTTTTTCCTAAGGTACATATAATTTACAATTATAACTATTGTGCTATTGTTTTGTTTTTTGTATTTTAAAGTTTTCTGAATCTAATTTCCTGTAAGATTAGTATTGTCTTAATTTCTTATGAATTTTATTAAAATGTATTTTGATAACAACTGCTTTTATTGCAACAGTTTGACGAACTATTTCTATGGAATCTTTAATGGAAATTCAATCCAATATTTACGTTGTTTAATCATAGGTGTCTTTGAAATATTTCTCGTGTATCCTGGGACCACCGAGTAAGTATTACAGTGATTAGGAAACGGGTACTAGGTAAGGATGGAAAATCAATTGGTGAAGTAGTGGAACCTCATTAGTTGAGATAGCTGGGACATGTGTTTTGTATGCCCTACCACCGACTGCCCCGACGTGCAACGTTTCATGGTGTAGGAGTAGGTTGGGAGAAAGCGAGGGGTGGCCAGACCAAAACATGGCATAAATCTATGAAGACACTGACAAGTGAACTGAGCCATATTAGTGGGTGTAGACTACCTGGTTGGGATCTGCGAGATGATAGCAATCGATGATAAGAGACGCTGAGTGACATGGCTGAAAATAGTTTACAATGAAGCAGGTGCATCCACTCCTTGTGTTCTCTCAAATTCTAATCCTCTCAATTCTTCATGTCCCTTATTTTCTTTCCAAATTTATTTCACTGTATTATAACATCTTCAAACCCTAGTCTTTCCTATAACTGCTTATACTTTTACTACCTCCATCACTACGGGATTTGAATCAACGGTTGTATCTGTCTGCTAATGGGGTATGGCAACTCGAACTGATGTACGTACGTACGAAGTTCTACGTTGTTGCTGATTGAACTGACTTCTTTGATCAAACGTGTTAGTGTTGAAGTTGTAATGACGGAAGTTTAAATGAAGTGATTTAAGTTAGATTGAGAAGTTATATCTTAAATCAATCGATAGTTTTGACATTCAAATCTTTTAATGGGAATATATTTCTATAATATTGTAGTGAACGAATACCTAAGTGGGGACATACAATTTATCGTTTATCATAAAATTACAGAATATCTTGGTAAAATATAAGAACTATACACTGAATGCTTCATTTGTAAATCTTTCATCAATTATCGTTTACATTCTGTCTGGTTCTTCCAATTCACAATTCTTTCATTTTCCTTTTACTGTTTTTTTCTTAGCCTTCTTCTGTCAACCATTCAACTTTTGACTAGTGTAACATACTACTTATGTCTGCCGATATAAGTAGCATACACCTCAACTGTTTGATTCAGCTTATCAAAACATTTATCCACATTTCATAGAGCTAGATGATAGGAAATAACTTGTGTAAATCACGATTGAAAGGCATCTTCATCTACTGATTGCGATGTATATGAAATGATATATTGAATTGATGCGAAACTCTTTCTGAAGTCGCCACCTACAAAATATCATAGACTATTCTGAAGGCTTTAAAGCTAATACTTAAACAGGAATTTAATTTCAAATATTATTTAGTTAAAAGAGCAGTCCTTCCTCTCATCTTTATTCGAATAATGTAACTAAGGATATTGTTATACACTGAAATTTCTTTCTATTGTTACTTATTATCAGTAAAGTTAACAAAACAACAAAAGAATAAATAACTAATACCTATTATTTAGGATAAAGTAAGTACCGAAATGGTTTTAAAATAATATTAACTTATAACAATATATTAAATTTTTATACTTGTCCCATTTTATTATGTAGCTGATTCCATCATAACTCAAGATGTCGAAGAAGGAATTTTGGTTCGAATTTTATGTAATGTAAGTAGTGATGAGAAACCTGATGGTGCTGGTCCATTTCGATACGAATGGCGTAATCCAAATGGTACATTAGTTGGAACTCAATGGAAATTAGAATTGGGCCACATCAAAGTACATGAATCAGGGATATATGTCTGCCGTGTTTCATATGAATTTGACAAAAGACAAATGTCCACCAGTTCGGCAACAAAAATAAATGTTATTCCACGTAAGTTTTTCTTCATCTTCTATTCTCCATAAATCTAATGTAGTAACATCAATTTTATGTTTATGTTTCGCCTCTTTATCTTTTGCTATTATAAAAGTACGTTTATTATTGTTTGGATTCGGTTCATTGACTCAGTATCTCGATCCAGCTATAGCATCTGAGCTAATTATTTGCCACCTGATCAACATATCCCACACGCTTCTTTTAGTTCATAGCACAGACAAATTACGTATAACCCAAAAGAACTGAGAAATTTGTAGCGTACCTTCCAAAAACTATAAGTTTATCAACCTTTTTAACCATGCCATAACCTACGTATGTCTTTTGTGAACAAATAAAACTAGTTTTAAACTTTATTTCAATAAATATTTAGATAATACACATTTTCTACAACGTCATATTTGTGTTATTCTCAAAGTAGACTTCAGTATTATGAAAAGCCTAGCAGAACTAGATAGAATTAATTATGTATCGTGATGTTAAATGCATTAAGTGACATTTAACTTAATATACTTAGTAGTTACTATAAAATAAAATATTTGTTCAGAATCAGTTATAGTTTCAGTTAGGAAAGGACAGGAGGCTTGATGACATGTGTTAGTCCTGGTAATGATGGTCTCTCAATTGATCCAACTTTCTTTTGAAAGAGTTGTCGGATGGAGTCTCAACCACGTGCTGAAGTAATGAATTCCACTCGTTGATAATTCGATGGGAAAGTCGATAGTCAGCTGACAAATAATTTGTTCTGGGCTTGTGAACTTTTATGGAGTGTTCTCGTAAATTCTCTGTTTTGGAAGACAACAAAAATGAGGGCATATCAGATGCAAATTTATCACTAAGCAATTTGAAAACTGTAATTAAGTCGCCTCTAGTTCTTCGATATGACAACGGGAATAGTTTTAGCTTGGCCAGTCGAGTATCATATGGGAGCTTCGCTATTCCGAGAATCAGCTTAGTTGCTGTTCTCTCAACATTTTACAAAAGCTTACCGTCTTTTTTAAGCAGGGGCTAGCCGCTTGTATGCAGTACTCAAGTTTAGTACCCATGAACACTGTATACAAAGTCAAAAAAGTTTTAGCGTTCTACGTATTGACCAGAGGGTTCTTAAGCCTTTGGCGGCTGTCGCACGGCAGTATGCAGTAGTCTTTTAGTCTTGGCTAACGATGACAACAGGTAGCTTAGTATTATTCATCATGTATGCATCTGTACCTTGATGACCAATATGCATCACAATACACTTGAAAGTATTTATAGGCAACTACCAAGTTTGAGACCTTTCAGATAATTTCTTCCGGTCAATTTGGAGTTCTAAGCTTTCACCCTTACATTGTATCGTTCCCCAAATCTTGACACCGTCAGCAGATAGCGCGACTGATGATGATAGAAGACGAGGAAGGTCATTTACATACAAAAGGAATAACAGTGGCCCCAAAATAGTACCCTGAGGCACTTCATTAAGCACAATTCCCCAGCTAGACAACTTTGAGTCCATCCGTACTTTTTGTTGCGCCCAACTAGGAAGTCTTTTATCCACATCAATAGATTGCATTCAACCCCGACATTTCTTAAAACTTATATAACAGCCGGTTGTGCGCAACTTTGTCAAAGGCTTTGCTGAAGTCATTGTAGGGTACGTCTTTAGGTAACTTTTGGTCTTTAGGAGCGCACTAGCTTTCACGAGCCACTAATAAGTTAGTGAGACAGGAATAACATATTGTAAAAAGATGCTGCTTTTCTGAAGTACTTGTATGTAATTATATTTTTAATAAATTTTCAGTAATGTCTATTCATTCTATATTAAAGATTCCCATTGTGAAAATTAGAACAACACATTTAAGCGAACAATTGTTTTCAATTAGATCGTCATCAGGCTTTACTCTAATATACATGAATATTTATACGAAAACTTTAAACCAATCAAGGCAATATGGGTCAATAATCACAATGAAATAGAATAAGTCTCTACACATAACAGGTAAAAGTACAAGTTTATAGTAGTAGGAAGACAGGTGAACTGATAATAGTAAGAATAATAAAATACCATAACAAAACTCTTATCAATTGTTAAACGTTGGCAATAGAAGGTCAAACAAACGTGGGTAAATAGACTAGGAATAGTAATCACAAAACATTAAAATCATTACGTAATAAGATTCTGTGATGTGCAAGAATTTCCAATCATGACATAATCTTCCAAACTACCCTTTTTTAACTGAGAATCAAAGGTATTGTAATGTATGAGAACACAAGCGGGGACAAACAAATGTATCTTAATCCAAAATTAAAGAGATTTTCCGTAAAATGTAGAAATCGTACGCTCAGTACTTCATTTACAAAGCCTTCATTAAGTGTGTTAAAACTTCATCATTCTTTCATTGTTATAACAATTACTCTCTTTTTCCGTTCTTTTTGATCACATCTTCCAAACCTCCTGCTGCTAGGCATTCCACTTCTGACTAGTGTTATATACTACATATATCGACATAAGTAGCATACACCACAGTATCGCTACAAAGTTACATAAAATTGAATTGTTGATTGTATGGTTTGTTACTGTTTTATACTTGATATTAATCAAATTCATCTTGTTTATTTGCATGACAAGCAGACGGAAGAATATGGATTTAACAATAATGAGGATTTAACTGAAACTGAAAACTTTTATTCTGTGCCTAGTTTCTACCAGATAGTGAAAAGTGACTAATAGGTTAGTCGTAAATCTCATGTAATACACAGAAAAATCTACAATAGATAATAACAGTGGTTTATGGAGTGAAATGTATTATCCTAGTAAATAACGAACTCAGGGTGAAAGGAATGTTAATGTCTTTGAGATTTCTTTACTTTTGATAAAGGCTATACACATTTTCATTGCTGTTTAGTTTCTGAAAACGTTTTTCAAAGAAGCTAAGCATTCCTAACTAATAAAATGTTTGATACAGTATAAGTAATGAAACTTCCTCATTCACTTTGTATTCAGACCAAACTACGGCCTAACCAGTGTACTTAAATCTTAGAAAGTAGATCACCTTGTAAACCCAGTATAAGGTGATACAATGACTCTTTATTCTTGGGATTTAAATAAATGATTCGATAAACAAGTTATACGTCTGATAGTCACCACAAAGAGTTGTGTATCTGAGTTCTGTGGAATTCATGGTATTATATGATTGATATACAGTTTGTTTGCTAGAAACATTCACTATGACATTCGATTGACCAACTATGTGGTTACATTGCATCTAAAAAAAACAACCTCAGAGGTCAATTTACATAAAATTTAGTATGAATGACAAAACTAAGAGAAACTTGGAACTGTCCCGCCCCTTTAAAACTAAGTAATGTAGTAATCAGAAACAACGATAATATACCTGTTCAATCTGTTGGCTACAATAGGTGATAGTCGTAGAGCGAAAAAAATTCATAACACTTTCAATAGAAAATTTTATGATCTCATCATTCTGTACCAACTTTTATATCCACCCGGGTATAATATATTATTATACTAAGCTCATTACTAACATGCTTACTTTCCCGATATTTATACGTCAACTGATCGAAGTTAATATGGTTCTTAGTCTAACTACTTTCGGTGTCCAAGACTTACCATTTTTAAGTTTGAGTTGGAATCATTTAGATATAATGGCGGTAATTTTTTTTTGATGAGTGGTAATGGAAATAATAAAACATGATAAGGCTCACTTAAAACTTGTTATTCCTTATGATGTCGTAGTGATCCAAACGATAACACATCCTGTTGGGTGCTATGATCTATTTGGATTCAAATAATAGATTGTTGATCAGCTGGTTTATTTCCTCAAGTGGACATTTGTGGTTATTAATGGATCAGCTTGTAATGTCGGTTATTATGTTAAGCCCATATAGCTTATTCTAGCTTCTGGACAGGCCAATTTATCCATTCATCTTGAGTCACGTTTTGACCATGTTAATTATTCACTTATTAACCCTGACTGTTTTTATTTGAGTGTATGTGTATGTGTACAACTTATGCAATTCACATGTTTGTAACTTATTTTTGTTCGACTGTAAATTCGATTAACTCTTCGTTAAATGGGATTGGCTCACATGTCTTCTCCACCGCGCATCATTTCGCTCCGCTCTCTTCTCTTCGCTGTCTTCGCTTCGTTTCTTCGTTCGTTTGTCTCGATCAAAAATTGTACGAAATATACGTATTACAAAAGTCCGTTCTCGTATTTGACTTATTTAATTCCGTTATTCACTAACATGGATTAAGTCGATAAATATATACGAGAATAGTCAGGATGCATATTTCGACAGCAATCGTTTATACAATCTAATTGGAGTCAGATAAAGGGCCACAAAAAGCTGAACTCTGATATTCTTCACAGTATGTGGATTATGATGAATGTTAGATGTTATTGAGATCACTAGCCAACCTAAGTGAAACAGTCACTGTAGTCATCACTAGTCTACAAATTCAGGATCAAATTATCTAGTAGACGCTTCGAACAAAACGTTCAAATTGCCATAGGGAAACAGGTGGAAAAATTCCGTTTTAATAAAAGCAGTAATGAAAGATAGTTTAAATGCTTCTTATGGTATTTCTTAGGTTTATTTTTCTGAGGGATTTTCATAAATGTTTTTAAATTGTCTATGACATATATAATGTACCAAGCGTCCCCCTATTTCGGCTTATAATTCTCCAACTGACCATTTATTTTCTAACGACTGCATATGTATATATATTAATGCTTAAACCTCCTCTTTTTTGTATGAAATGGTAACCAACTTTAATGTTTAGTTCGCTATATAGAGAAAAGGCATAAAAACGTAGAATTCTAAAGAAGTAAAAAATTGTATTTTAATGAACGAAAACACAGGTGCGGATAACTAAATTTTTTTCTCAGCAAAGAATTACAGAATCTATTGGTAAAATCTGGAAACCATGTATCAAATGCTTCATTTGAAAAATTTCATCATTTGTCCTTCACATTCTGTATGATCTATCCGAGTCACAATTTCTTTCTATTCCCGTCTCTGTTTTTCTTGTTCAACTTGATCTTCCTAGCCATCTTTCAGGGTCCTCGCATCTGATTGTTATTACGTACTACTTATATCTGTCAACATAAGTAGCGTACACCGCAGTATCAGCAGAAATTTTAAAACTAATCATAGGTTAAAAGTAGCTGAATTAAACGAGATTAGCAGTATAAATTTGTGGAGGACATTGAATTTTACTGACATCACAAATCGGTTTAAGTAAGAAGCTGTGATCGGTAGAGTTCAATCTTGTCCCACCAGAAACAATGTAAGAAAATCGCCCAATATTATGGAATGATTTATGTTAAACATACAGCATTGAATGCCAACACAGTTGTCTATACGTTGAGCGTTCTCTCGTCGGACCCGAGGTCTTTGTTTCGATTCCTGCGTGCGGAGATGTGTATGCCCACTACTGAAGATTTACATACTAGGAAGAAACGGTCGTCCACCAGTTCCAGGTTTCAGTAATTGCCTAAATTAGATCAGGTCATGATATCAACAAAATGAGATTAGTCGTTGATTTTCCATAAATATATCACTAACTCTTGAATTAGAATCAGAAACTTGCTGAAGAAATTGAATGATCAGTTTGAACATGAACTTATAGCATTATTATTATTATTATTAATATTGATATGATTAGACTTTAAATAATGGACTAAGCAAATAATCTTGAAACCAGTTAAACAAAATGAGGAAGGACAAACAACCAAATCATCTTCATGTCGGTGAATTGATTAACGATACTGATAGTAAAATAACCGTATTAATCAATCCACATATTATAACAAATTGTATTAGTAGACGAATATTATTTCTAAAAAATACGACTTTACTATGCATAAATGTTTAATGAAAAAGGTTAAACATTTTATTAGAGCATTAATTAGAATTAATGTTCATAAAACAATCCAATCAATATATAATGAAAGGTATCATTGAATGTCAAACTGATTATTAACTGAAATGTACAGTATTATAAAAAATGTATACAGTAACATTTAAACAGTTTCTAAGGGAAAAATGATTCATATAAGTAGCCTTATCATTTGATTAAGATAACAATGCCTTATGATGAAAAATATTGATTCCAGTTAACATATGAATAATGAAAAATAGTTTAGTACTAATCAATGATTTTAATCAGTCAACCATATATAGACTAAATGTATATGATATCCTCAAGGTATAATCAAACCCATATTTTGTATCCAATACCTCTACATATGAATATATGATGACATATTGTATTATGTATCTGAATCAGTACAGTATTTATTGTAAAAACTGTTGAAGTTATAGCAGTTCATATTTTGGGGTTGATATTATAACAGTTAGCTCTTTTTTTTCATTTCTGTAGTTATTTCCAAAGCTAAAACTTACAATGTAGACCTTTGGCAATCTGTTATATCTTTAGTTATACGATTATGGTGAAATACGATTGCCAATTACGATACGTTGAACTAAACACCCAGACTAATGACGCATGAACCTCTACAAGCAGCTTAGGGTTTTTATTGGTCTACTGAGAATAATAGCCACTCTGTTAATCTAGTCGCTTTAGTCCAGAACGCCAATATCAACCTTCTCCATACCAATCATATCTTTCAAGCATTCTTGGGATATAAACAACTAAAATCAAACCATATCACAACATTAAATAGAAACATTTGTACATAATCATGCCAAAAGTGACTGTGATTTTGAGAAACTGTTACTAATAGATTATGAATATTTCAAGAATGGTAAATCGTATGATAATAATCAATAGATGAAATAAAAGCCTATAATGAAAGGAATATTAATATACATATAATATAGTTACTTAATAGTCATACAATAAGAATATACATATGATATTTGTCCATAAATGATTACTAGCGCATACCATTCATTTATTCTCGTACCGGATATAACACAATCGTTAATCGGTCGTTCAATATTTAATAAAACATTTTTTGATTGATTAATTATACAATTTTTAAAAAAAATAAACTTATCTCATGGGGATAACTGTGCACATAATTAACGCTTTCATATTTTTGAAATTAAACCTTTTCTGTGTATTTTTTTGTTGTGAAATAGTTTGATAGAACTAGTTAAAAAGATTCACTGAATTCAAAGTTGGAAAAGCCTTTTCGTTAAAAGAACATACTAGTGCAGGCACTACCCTAAGTACATCACATACACAAGACCAAAATGCTTCTGGCTAATAAGCTGACATACAACTTTTAATAAGGATTGTTATTGTTAAATTTGAATTCACCACGTGCCCTATTGTTGTTTTAGATACATTAGTTCCAGTGTTCTGTCGTGGTACGCTCAACTTTGGTATGATTATTCGTATTTTTCAAATTCAGTAATTAAAAGATTTAGAATATTGAATAATATATCTTTCAAACAATACTGTTCAATATATATATAATTGTTGAATTCATGGGTGAATTAAAGCTAGACCACCATGAAAAACCTGGAAGCACTGGACAGCTGTTTCATCCTAGTACGGGGCTCCTCAGCAGTGCCATCCATGATCCCGCCCTCCGCGAGATTTGAACCCAGGACCTGTCGGTCTTGCGCACGAACGCTTAACTTGTAGATCACTGAGTTGAGATCCAATGGTATTATTGTCTAACTTCAACCAATCCATGAAATTTCACTACCGTTAACCATTGTCGTGAGTGCGCACTGCTGAGGAGTCCCATACTGGGACGAAACGGTCATTCATTACTTCCAGGTTTTTCATGGTGGTCTAGCTTTAATTAACTCATGAATTCAACTATTAAATTGCTAAAATCACCATAAAAACCTGTTCTGATAATACATGAGTAAAGTAATAAAGCTGGATACATGTTAAAAAAATTTTTTTTTAAAAAAAAAATTTTTATTAATTTATTTCATTGATTAATTTTCCAAATGAATTTTTTAATTAGATAGTATTTTTTTGAAATAATTTATTTCTTTATTATTTATTTTATTAAGATTTTATTTTAATAAAAAAAAATTAAAGTTTTATCTATTTTTGAAATATTTTTTCGTATTCAAAAAATAAAATTTTATTACGTCCGAAATTAGACTTTAATACATTCCTTTTTTCAATTTTTCTAATTAACCATTCTTGTCCGATTAAGGAAATTTATTCGTTTTTAATTTAATTTTATTTTTTAAAAGATTTTTAAAAACTATTTTGTTTCAGTAAAATTAAATTCCGCTTTTATAAATTAATTTTAAAATAAAATTGTTTAGCGATTCGATGAATATTTAAGTTTAAAGAACTTAGTTGCGTTAATCTTTAAAAAAGTTCGCTAAGGTAACATAAATTTTATTTTTAAAATTTGGGAAATTAAAAAAATTAATAAATTTAATTTTATAATTGAAAGAAAAACCCAAAAAAGTAAATTGAAAAAAGGCGAAAGGAAAATTCAATTATTTTTTATTTTTTAAATTTAAACAATTTATTAAAGTTTGTTTTTTTTTTTTTTATTATACTTAATATTTAGATTTAAAAAATTTTTTTGTAAAACTTATTTTTTTTCTACGGTAATGGTTTCCTTAACAATAATTTCGAAACATTTGGGCTTATTAACTTTTGGTTGTATGCTTGGAATGAAAATTTATTTTCAATATATTTTAATAAAAATAAAAAAGATCTTATTATTTTTTTTTTTTTTCACTTAAAAAGATATACCTAAATTTAAAAAAAAAATAAAAAAAAAGAAAACCTTAAAAATTTTAAATGTAATTATTAAAACTATTGAATTTTATTACAGGTCGAAATGGTGAAGTAGAACCAACTTATTCTGTTGTAATTCGAGAAATTTCTGGTCCCCTTTATTTAAATGCACGATTAGAATTGGAGTGTTCTCCAAGACCACCAAATTCAGCTGCTAGAATTAATTGGCTTGGTCCAGATGGAATGGTGGTTTCCGATTCTAGTAATATAGTATTTGAACGTTTCCAACCTCATCATCAAGGTAGATACACATGCCAAATCTTACTACCGAATCAAATTATTTTACGTCAAGTACGTTCACTAAAATTTAATTTCCCTAATAATATTTAGAGATAATTGTTTTGGCAATTTTAAATAACCAAATGTCAGAAACTCAATTTTATGCTTAAAACAGTACGGAATCCCTATCAATTAATCATATTCCGTACTTACCATTACCATCTACCTAATAGCTGAACTGATAACAAATTTCAAACCAAATACTCAGAAATTATTTTTCCAATTATGGAATTCAAGCGATAGTCTTGATAACAAAGTAGCAGTATTTGCGACCACCTAACTACCACATCGTGGTGAACAGAGTCACAAGTTATCATGAGTTGAATAAAGTTTGAGCAAATAATTTTATCGAAATAGATAAAAGTTTTATTAGTTATTTTAGAATAAAGGTTTTTTGTTAAAGTTATTAAAAGTAATAATTTTTTTCATATGTTTCGGAAATCACATATTCTTACATTTCCCCCTGTTAAGTTGACTTCCCTGGTCCGACTTGACAGTATGGTACTTACCTTTAACAGTACGATATCTATTGACGATGGTACAGGTAAGCCTTAATAAAACTTTATTCAAAAATCCTGGATTTATTTTACCAGGAATTAAATGTTTCTGCATAGCCACTTGAAAAGAGTCTTGAATTCCTCAAAAGTCAGCAATTATTATTACCTAAATTTCACGTGAAAAAAGAAATTAGTTGTTTCTTACTACACTAATTGTTTAGTTCATTGTTTTACTCATGTTAAGCTATCACCAAACTTAAGTGCTAATCGAATTAATTATATTGATAAGATATATATATATTGAAATCAAACACTATGTTGAAATAAAATGGTAGTTGGGGTTATTCAATAGGTAAACCTAAGTTTCGTGCTACTTGACAATCTTCAGCAAGATGTACCTGCAATCTTGAAGGAGCTGATACTCCCAGGCGGGTTCGTTCCTACGTTATCCAGCTACATTGTCAGAGACGTTACCATTGAACTATCTGCACTAAGAAGGACCTGACATACATGACATTGATCACAGCTCAGTGATCAATCAATTGTAAACATAAAATACTCTATCATTTGAATGTAATATACTACACAGATGAACATTTTTTTCAATTATCATAAGTGAAAAGTTGGAAATACTACTGAACTCCTTTTGTAAGCAAAGATGGCTAGTGGCTGGCAGTGGAATCCATAACATGCGTTTCGTCCTATTTGGGACTCGTCAGCTGAATGTACCTGCATCTCAGAGTTTATGGTCACTTTGGGACTCGAACCCAGTACCGTTCACTTCAAACGCCATCGCGTTATCCACTCAACTACTGAGTCCTGATAGCCACTTGCTTCTGTAATGGGTGAGCTTAAATTCACTTGGTAATGTTTGACTTGTATGCACAGTATGCACAGTATGCACATTGTCAATGACAGACTGATCAATCGCAGTCTTAAACCTCAATGGGAAGATACAAGCCAAACAATACCAAGTGAATTTACTATTGAACTCATCATAAACATGAATGATAATCATAATTATTTATTTAGAACTACAAGGTTTCAATGAACTGAACGAGCAACATCCAAGAAATGGTACATTTTTTTTAAACAAAAAAACTATTTTTTTAGCTTGCTGCATAATGATGAATTCTCGATGTTAATTTCTTTGTATCTATCCATAATAATTTTTCCCAGACATTTAAAATAATTTTATGGAGGGTCATTAAATTAAACTAGAAGAAATAAAAGTTTTTAAACAGTAATCTTATTTTATTAAAACCTGTAACTAAGTGATCATATCGAGACAATCCGCTCAGATCGTATACATAACAGTAAAGAATAATCAATTGTAGTCCATTGACATCAATAATAGAAAAACTAAAACCCTTACTTACAGCTTTATACCAGATTAACAAGTTAATGACTATCTGAACTCAGCTGCTCTGAGGAAAATGGGTTAAAGTTTAGACGAAAAAATCAATAGTTTCAAAATTCTTTCTGAACAATAAGATTCGAATCCCATTCAATTAAAGGAGGCTAAAATAAGATGTAACATACGACTTAACATCCACTGTTAGATATGATCAGACATACTGGGTGTTGAACATTTCTTTAAAGATCACAAAATAGGAAAGGAATATATACGATCAAGTGAAACATAGGTTAATTATCTTCGCAGATACAAAGTAGACTACATTACTCCGTCAGCTGAGATTATAAATCATTATCCACACGGCAGTTTTTAATATGTGTGTAATTGATGTACTCAGTCATTTATATGAAACGTCAAGAGTTATTTTGCTATGATGATAACACTGAAATTTCATGAAACCTAGACTATGATCACCAATTGTCACTTCTAATGATTTACTGTATCAGAATGAGTTTTGTGGAGAGTTATAGAAATTTCACAGGTTGAAATCATTAGTCGATTGAAGCTAGAGCACCATGGAAAACCTGGAAGCACTGGACGGCCGTTTCGTCCTAGTATGGGACTCCTCAGCAGGTACATCCAACTGACGAGCTACAAATAGGACTAAACGTGCATCCTGGGTTCCGTTGCTAGCCATGATCCGTCTCCGTTTATAATTTTTGATAGATAAGGCCCTAAAAAGTTGTTTTGTTTTTTACGCTGTTTCTGTTAAAGAGTTAGTAATAATAGTCTGTTGTGAATAACATTTGGTAGCTTTAGTAGTCTTCTCCTCAAACGGTCAATACAATCGATCAATTTCCATACGTTATGTGATGACTAGGAAGCCATGTGACATTACTTTGTTTTTTTAATAGCCATGTCAGGCCGTCATCTAAAGAAAAACGTTCTACCTTGGTATTTAAGTCTTATAGAGACCCAATTTATGGTTGTTGAGTAATTTATTTTCTAGACAATTGCTCTCACTGGAGTACATAACACATAACGTAGCTATTCGAAATGTGAGAATAAACATTTCTTGATCACTAGTACAAGTGATAATATCTAAATGTATTTCATGCCCTTTCCATTACCCTTATTTTACGATAGTCTTAAGACGATAAATATAAATTTTATTCTGTCACATCTACTTGGGCACTCATAGATGATACAAGACAAGAGGGTTTTTATCACATCGGAAGTCATTGTTAACAAATATTGATCGATATTTGGAATAATTAAGTTTTCATCAACAAAATATTTACAATTAGCCGATAGTTTTTTTTAAAGAAACCCATAGTCACCTCACATTTATTTCTATAATAAACCACTTCAACCAGCAGCTCCCAACTTTCACATCTCCGGTGAAAACAAGATATTTCATGTTGGTAACTTTATGGAACATCTCTTGAATTAATTTAAATAATACATTAAGTTCCAAACGAATTTATTTAACTAAGGGAATGTTTTCGATGATTTTATATTCGAAAATATGTGATCATATATATGTAATAAATTATAGGTCAATGATTAAGTGAATAAAGTTTAGGATTTAGTTAGTCTCTATGTGCATCTTGACTACATAATTTTAAATAAAGAAGTGACCATTAAAGGATGTGATTTATCGAACCTGAAAATGTTCAATCGATAAGTTGAACACAGTCATTATAATTTTTGTCAAGTTGTAAATGATAGACGTGTGTGAATAACACTCATGAATTGTGATTAGAATCAACGTTTATAGTAATAATGATAAAACTATTCAACATAGAACCATGCTTACAAATGTAGGACTGAAAAGGTAACAAACAAAACCAGCAGAGAAATTATATCACGTAAAAATCTGTCCTCGCTTACGTTTATACTCATCTCATTCATCTACTATGATGATAACCACGTTTCAAGATCAAGTACTTTATAATATTTAATCAAAATCATCTAAGGTTTTAAGGAATATTTTTAGCTTAGAATGAGGGTGCTTTAAGTGCTGTGTTATCTGAAACAAATTGTATTAACAGACTGTTTAGACCCCAATGAAGTCACCTAAATTCCTGTTAGCAAATATTTATGTGGTCTTTAGAAGTAAATCATAACAACGAATTATATTTAAAATTAAGCAAGTAACGAGCACTAGTGTGTAGTTGATTAAAATACTCATTTCCATCATTGCTAGTAATACATCACTCTCTTTCAAGTCCTGATTTAAGAATAAGTCCACGTGTTTGGTTGATCCTATTAGCATATTTGCTCAGTATTACTTACATATACATACATAATTGCTGTTTTAAATAGGGGAATCTGAAAATATCATTTCATGAGATTATTGCTTTGACTTAATACTTTTAAGTAACTGTAATATATTCTAAGTCTTCTTAACATTTTTATAGGGATATTCATTGTATTCCCATGATTATCTTTTTTCAACATTATATATATATATATATGTATCACAGACGCCATATTGAGAACAAGAAGTATACAACATTTTACTAAACGTATTAGTCGTTATGGACATAAAATATGTGTATGTCTCGTGGTATCCACAGTTACATTTATTATAATCATGTATTGAATTTCATTAAGAAACGGTATCATAATGTTTAAAAACTTTTTCAAATTTCAAGCAATATATTTTTTTATATCAATCAGTGTTACTGTCCAATAATAAACGGATTTATGAAATACAAACAACTCAGTTCATGTTAACTCAACATAAAAGACTATCATTCTAAAGAGTAGCTTATAAAAACAATTTAACCTTTTAAAAAAAACAACTAAATCCATTATTTCTATACTCTACAAAGAAGATAAGTAAAAATTAGCTCATGCACATTTAGGTATATAAACATCAAAAATTCCAAAACATGTCACTTTTTTTTCAATCATAAACAAGTCATTCAGTCATCAGAAACATTGAGATTATTGCGGTACTATAATACAGTATATGTACAGTTATAATATTGCATATAACATAACAGTCATAAGTTTACCAAATTTGTATGACTTACAAAAGTGATTCAATAGAAACTATGTGAAAAGAAAATAAATATTTTTATCCTGTCATGAAATTTTAGTTTACATTTATAATAATAACGAATGACTACAAAGCAATAATCTAGAAAAGCATCATTTTGAAATATAGATGTGAACCAATGATTTACGAAAGGAGTTCAATGTAGAAACGTTAAAATAAATGTTAAATTTCAATAGTTGAGATCATGAGTCAATTGAAACTAGTTCACCATGGAAAACCTGGAAGCACTGGACGGCCGTTTCGCCCTCCTCAGCAATGCGCATCCATCTTAAATTGTTAGAAATTCTCATGAGTAATTAATGAAATCAAAATGTAATTGATAAATCCATCTGTAAATGATGATTATATCGGAATGATTAAGTTTACATTAAAATGTATGTAAAACGGTAACATCTATTATCAGTCATTTGCTAGTTCTATTAACTTTGCTTATTATTTGATGAGGTTCAATATATCATAACCTACATTATACAACGCTTTTATTTGTAATTCCGGACAAAACTATCAATGCATTTTTGACACGTATTCCCATCATTTTGAATTAGAATGAGAAAAAATCTCCTTGAGTTTTAAGGAAATCATTTTCTGGCAATAAAACAGTTAATTCCATTTTCTTATTCTTCGACCTATAACATATCCAATATTCAATGAAGAAATCAGTAGATCTATTTGCATTCTAATAGATTATACAATCAGAAAGGAATCAACAATTTCGAATGAAAACAAAATATGCAACACAAACGTTGATTATCTACATTTTAGATGTTGAATGCGATATTTCTTTTAAGAGAATGTTTCATATACTCACTTATCGGTTATATCATTACTCCTATCTAAACTGAACCTTATAATAAAATTACAAAAGATTATGCTCTATCATATTAATCACATCTTCAGTTAGATTATTTATATTTTACTCAAAAAATTTTTTTTCTTTTGTTTAATTATTTTTAATTAGGAGTGGATTTAATAATGCGACCTAATATCATATATATCCCAGCATTTCATCCATTTGAAATTGAATGTTTATCTATACGTACCGGTTTATCACCTATTGCCATATTTGGTAATGGTGCACCTATTGAATCCGATAATCGATTTACAATTATAAAACCAAATGAACAACGATTAATTATAAGAGCTACAGATGGTTTATCAAGTGTTTATAATGGTTTACGTATTCGGTAAGTGAAAATTAAAAAAAACTTATTACAATCGATAAATTCTTTCTAATATATAAATAAAATCAGAAGGGATTTGTGGAGATTTTAGAAATTCCACTGGTTGAAATCATGAGTCAGTTGAAGCTAGACCACCATGGAAAACCTGAAAGCACTGGACGGACGTTTCGTCCTAGTATGGGACTCCTCAGCAGTGCGCATCCACGAACCCGCCCCCCGCGGGATTCGAACCCAGGACCTACTGGCTTCGCGCGCGAGCACTTAACCATTAGACCACTGAGCCGGCACCCAACGGTGTTAATGTCTAACTTGTGAAATTTCTAAAAATCTCCACAAAACCCATTCTGATAATAATGATTTTTATTATTTGGTATTTAATAATGTTCAAAATGAATTCGAAACTGTTATTTGTGAAATTAAAAATCTCAGTAATTCTCTCAACCGTTTTTTTTGTAGTTGACATTTGTTTTACTGGAACAATTTTTCCTTCTTATATGTGAAAATTCTATTTGAAATAATTTAAGCAATTGAAATTTCAAATAATTTCAACGTTTCGTCCATCAAACTTGTCTGAACTTCTTCAGGGTAATCATCAAAATCAAAATCACCAAAGAAATATATAGCGTTTACCAGTTAAATCAAATCAAATCTACACTGTGCTAATCAAATCATATTTGAATGTTGATTTTTAGTGAATAGGATAACATGAGTAAGTTAAATGCGAAACATGTGAAAAGTTCACGATGTGAAAATAAATGACTGAAACGAATTGTGTATGTGTGTATGTATGTGTAAGATTGAGTTATTAATGAATGATATTCCGTGTTGATATGCTGTTATATGAAGGAAAACTAAAAGTGTAAATTGAAGGTTGAAAAAAAACATGTTTCTGAATCATTGAAGTGCAAGTAAAGATGAGAATCATCAGCTTGATAATAAATTCGTTGAAAAGAGATCCCTTCACTGAGCTTCGTGTTTTTTAATTGTTAATCTTTAAATGGGAATTATCTGTCATCAAAAACATAATTGCATTGCTAAAAATAAATCAGATTAATTTCGGGGACCAAAATACTTGAGAAAGATCTTAACACTCACAAAGAAAGATTGACAGCGAAACTCCTGTATATATTGGCGAACAAGAACAGGCTGAACCGATAGGATGGTCCTCAACTAACGATTACTTGGCAACTATTCGTTGACCCTATCTTTATTCAACCTGTTTATTTTACATGCATCGTTATTTTGACTGAAATTAATGTGAGCTATTTTTAGCAATACAATTATGTAATTGATGATTCTCATCTTTACTTGCACTTCAATGATTCAGAAACATGTTTTTTTCAACCTTCAATTTACACTTTTAGTTTTCCTTCATATAACAGCATATCAACACGGAATATCATTCATTAATAACTCAATCTTACACATACATACACACATACACAATTCGTTTCAGTCATTTATTTTCACATCGTGAACTTTTCACATGTTTCGCATTTAACTTACTCATGTTATCCTATTCACTAAAAATCAACATTCAAATATGATTTGATTAGCACAGTGTAGATTTGATTTGATTTAACTGGTAAACGCTATATATTTCTTTGGTGATTTTGATTTTGATGATTACCCTGAAGAAGTTCAGACAAGTTTGATGGACGAAACGTTGAAATTATTTGAAATTTCAATTGCTTAAATTATTTCAAATATAATTTTTACATAGAATGACTTCTGCATACTCAATGCCTAATTTTTGTCAAACTATTCATTTTAATATTGACGAATATTCATATAAATATTTCTTTGTTGTTTTAATCAAGTAATTTTATGTTATGTAACCATTATTTCATAATTTAATGATACTTATGAGACTATACTATATTCTTTGAACATTGAATGAAATCTCATTTGTTTTTCAACATTTTTATTTATACTTCACGTATTAAAATCATGAGTCAATTGAAGCTAGACCATCATGGAAAACCTGGAAGCACTGGATGGCACGTTTCGCCCTAGTATGGGACTCTTCAGCATTGCGCATCCACGATCCCGCACTGCGCAAGATTCGAACCCAGGAACCATCGGTCTCACGACAGGCGCCTAACCAACTAGACCACTGAGACAGTATCCAATGGTGTTAATGTCTAACTTCAACCAATACACGAAACTGTGCCACCGTACACCATAGTCTTCAGTGAGTTTATATCCCACAACAGACTTGGCTGAACACTGTTGGATGCCGGCTCAGTGGTCCAGTTGGTTAAACGCCTGGCGCGAGACTGATGGGTCCTGTGTTCGAATCTAGCGGGGTGCAGGATCGTAGATGCGTACTGCTGAGGAGTCTTATACTAGGGCGAAACGTGCCATCCAGTGCTTCCAGGTTTTCCATGATGGTCTAGCTTCAATTGACTCATGATTTTAATACGTGAAGTATAAATAAAAATGTTGAAAAACAAATGAGATTTCATTCAATGTTCAAAGAATATAGTATAGTCTCATAAGTATCATTAAATTATGAAATAATGGTTACATAACATAAAATTACTTGATTAAAACAACAAAGAAATATTTATATGAATATTCGTCAATATTAAAATGAATAGTTTGACAAAAATTAGGCATTGAGTATGCAGAAGTCATTCTATGTAAAAATTATATTTGAAATAATTTAAGCAATTGAAATTTCAAATAATTTCAACGTTTCGTCCATCAAACTTGTCTGAACTTCTTCAGGGTAATCATCAAAATCAAAATCACCAAAGAAATATATAGCGTTTACCAGTTAAATCAAATCAAATCTACACTGTGCTAATCAAATCATATTTGAATGTTGATTTTTAGTGAATAGGATAACATGAGTAAGTTAAATGCGAAACATGTGAAAAGTTCACGATGTGAAAATAAATGACTGAAACGAATTGTGTATGTGTGTATGTATGTGTAAGATTGAGTTATTAATGAATGATATTCCGTGTTGATATGCTGTTATATGAAGGAAAACTAAAAGTGTAAATTGAAGGTTGAAAAAAACATGTTTCTGAATCATTGAAGTGCAAGTAAAGATGAGAATCATCAATTACATAATTGTATTGCTAAAAATAGCTCACATTAATTTCAGTCAAAATAACGATGCATGTAAAATAAACAGGTTGAATAAAGATAGGGTCAACGAATAGTTGCCAAGTAATCGTTAGTTGAGGACCATCCTATCGGTTCAGCCTGTTCTTGTTCGCCAATATATACAGGAGTTTCGCTGTCAATCTTTCTTTGTGAGTGTTAAGATCTTTCTCAAGTATTTTGGTCCCCGAAATTAATCTGATTTATTTTTAGCAATGCAATTATGTTTTTGATGACAGATAATTCCCATTTAAAGATTAACAATTAAAAAACACGAAGCTCAGTGAAGGGATCTCTTTTCAACGAATTTATTATCAAGCTGATGATTCTCATCTTTACTTGCACTTCAATGATTCAGAAACATGTTTTTTTTCAACCTTCAATTTACACTTTTAGTTTTCCTTCATATAACAGCATATCAACACGGAATATCATTCATTAATAACTCAATCTTACACATACATACACACATACACAATTCGTTTCAGTCATTTATTTTCACATCGTGAACTTTTCACATGTTTCGCATTTAACTTACTCATGTTATCCTATTCACTAAAAATCAACATTCAAATATGATTTGATTAGCACAGTGTAGATTTGATTTGATTTAACTGGTAAACGCTATATATTTCTTTGGTGATTTTGATTTTGATGATTACCCTGAAGAAGTTCAGACAAGTTTGATGGACGAAACGTTGAAATTATTTGAAATTTCAATTGCTTAAATTATTTCAAATAGAATTTTCACATATAAGAAGGAAAAATTGTTCCAGTAAAACAAATGTCAACTACAAAAAAAACGGTTGAGAGAATTACTGAGATTTTTAATTTCACAAATAACAGTTTCGAATTCATTTTGAACATTATTAAATACCAAATAATAAAAATCATTATTATCAGAATGGGTTTTGTGGAGATTTTTAGAAATTTCACAAGTTAGACATTAACACCGTTGGGTGCCGGCTCAGTGGTCTAATGGTTAAGTGCTCGCGCGCGAAGCCAGTAGGTCCTGGGTTCGAATCCCGCGGGGGGCGGGTTCGTGGATGCGCACTGCTGAGGAGTCCCATACTAGGACGAAACATCCGTCCAGTGCTTCCAGGTTTTCCATGATGGTCTAGCTTCAATTGGCTCATGATTTCAACTTGTGTAATAAAGATCATATTTTATTGTTATTCTTCTAAGATTTTTAGTATTGTGTAATTATTGTGAATGAGAATATCGATGCGCAGAAACGATTATATATTAACACCAAATTATAGTTATGTAAAAATCATACTTTATTTGCACAATGTTCATTAATGGTCTCAGACTTCATTATTCCTTCATTTCCATACTCATTACTCTCTGTTCCCATTCTTTCCTCTTATCAACCTTTTACTGACAAGTCTTCTATTTTTGATTGGCGTTGTATACTATTTATCTCGATATAAGTAGCACACATCATATAACGATTTAACATCATCGGAAATACAGATCAATAAAATTGTCATCTGTTTTGTTATCCAAACAAGTATTGAAGTTAACTCAGAGAATAAAGGTGTTATTTAAATGAATCATTAAAAAAAAAATTGATCGTACCAAAATGATATGGATCCATGGATCCCATATTTTTATTTTATTAATCCAAATATACATATATTTTAGAAGTATGTGAATACATAAGAAGTAGACATTAGTCTAGTCATTAACATCTATTGAAAACTGAAGTACTTTTTTTTGATAATTTATTGTTATCCTTTGTTTAAATATCATAATGTTTATAATATGGGATAGAATGAAATAGTTTCTGAAAACTCTATTAAAATGATATTTATGAATTCGATATAGGATGCTTGAATATGTAACTAATGATAGAAATGTAATTGTAATTTCATTCAATGAAA